GAAGATTAAGAATGCTGAAGCCCATCCAACAGACTTACCTCATACTGATTCTTCAAATAATCTTTGAGAATGCTGTGATATGGGAACTTGCTTTGAACTGGGTTGTGAACGGATGAACTGTCCTTTTTTTTATTCCTATGCAAATAAACTGAAGCTTTTCTGTTACTGTGTAAGCAGTTAAAGCCTTCTAATGCTCTGGGTATAAAATTATGTTGTGTAAACTTTTCAAGGAGATGGGGTTCCTTCTGTTGGTCGGTAGGTTAGATTTCAAAACATTTAAAGAACAAAACTCAAACCATACAATGTTCTCATTTATGTAATGTTAGCCAAAAACAGAGCAAAATAAAACATTTGGTTTGGTAACAAATGGACTATCTTAACAAGAGCTTGGCAATCCTGTCTCTGTTTTGTTAGAAGCTGTACTGTAGGTATTTTCAGAAAACATTTGATTATTTCAGTTTTTACAACACCATAGTTAATATGAAAGGAAAAGTACCATTACTATTGTTGCTGTATGTGTCACTTGCACATTTATATCATCTTTCACATTGTTGGCTTGCTAATATATTTAGGAAATATTCTTCACCCCGGTTGTCAAATGCCTCTATTGTTTCAACCTTCTTTATCCCTGTGATATCCCTCATCAGTCTGACAGCTCCCTGCTCCTTGAGATCTCTGCAGGATTCCTGCCTCCCCATTCCTGATTTGAATCTTTCCATCATTGGCGATCAAGCCATCAATAGCCAACGCCCTATAAGATCAGTAGAGTTGCCCCTGAACCTCAGCATTTTGCTTTCCTCCTCTAAGATTCTCCTTAAAATCTACCTCTTTGCTTAAGCTTTTGGTCACTTGATCTAATAGCTCGCTATGTGGCTCAATGTTCAACCTTGATCTGTTTATAAATATTCTTATTATGTTAAAGGCAGTATATAAAAGCATTTTGTTTTTGTTGTTGATAATTCATGCTAAGTGTTCTTCCTGATGGATGATTGTCTTCTTTGAGCTAATCTTTTAAGCTATACATCGAACAGGAATTGTTAGCTGCCACTGATGAAAGTTTATAAAACTTTGTCATCTAATTGTTTGTTGAACTACTCAAGTATATCAGGTTGCAGTTCTATCTGTCCCCACTACTATTTCCTATTATCTCATGATTTTGTAGTTCCAACCTCACTCCAGTCCATTCATTACATTGAGATTTTCACTTTTCTGGCCAACATTACAGCACCCGTCCTACCAGTCCTCCATTCACTGCCCAACCATCCTGCCTGGCCTGACCCTGCCCTCTATGTTGGCACATTCTATCATCGGTCATCAGTATGAAGAATTTAATCATGGTGGAATTATGACAGCGTGGAAATTCCCAATTCATTTCACTTATTTTCTACCACAGCAGTTCCAAGTCTCAATTCTAGTGGAACAGGAAACAAAGTTACTTTAGAGGCCAACAGTTCAGGCACTCGTCACCTTCTGTATCTCACAACATTTTTTAAAAATCAGTTTTGAACCCCGTAGCCCTCTTCTTCCAATGTAATTAATCCCTGTAGTAAACAGAGATCCCCTTCCTTTAGAAAACCCAATGACTGGTACAAATATTATATAATAAATATATAGCAGGAAGCATATTGGATACAGTTACATATCAATATTATGGCACTTTGGCACTTCACTGACTGATATGTACATATATTGTAAGTAGCTGACTGAAACTGTGAGAATTTTGGGCGGTCTACAACAACCGGAACTCAATTTAAAACATTTACCCTGAGCTCCAAATCAGATGCTGAAAGAGCAAATGAAGTAGAAAACAGATAACAGCTAATTGTTTTTAGATTAGAATGTCATTGCATGGCATCTTTTATGGTACAATTGGATGCTTTGAAGCCAAGGACAGTGTAATGCAATAGAATTAGACTTGGATTGCTCTCACCAAGATCCAGCACAAGCATGGTGAGTCTGATGTGCTGTAAAAGTCAATGGTTTTAGTTCTTTTAACATAGAGTCATACATCATGGGAACAGACACTTCAGTCCAACCAGTCCCCATCAGCCATGTTCCCAAACTAAACTAGTCCCACCTGGCTGCACTTCACCCATTTCCCTCAAAACCATTCTATTCATAAACTTATCCAAATGTCTTTTAAACATTGTAACTCTACCTGCATCCACCACTTTCTCTGGCAGTTCATTCCACACATTGTCTGTCTAAAAACATTGTCCCTCATGTCCTTTATAAATCTTTTTCCTCTCACCTTAAAAATATGCCCCCTAGTCTTGAACTCCCCCATCTTAGGGAAAAGACCCTGTCATGCACCTTATCTATACCCCTCATGATTTCATAATCCTCAATAAGGTCAATCCCTCAACCTACTACGCTCCAGTGAAAAATTGCCAACCTTTCCAGTCTATGTTTATATCTCAAACCCTTTATTCCCGGCAAAACCTTGGTAACTCTTTTCTGAGACAACAAGGTGCAGGGCTGGATGAACACAGCAGGCCAAGCAGCA